TCTGTGATGCGCCTCGCGTGAGAAACTGTGCAGCGTCGCGTGCCGCTGCTGTGGTCGCGCCGCGTCGTATGCTGAGCGTGCGTGCCGCTGCGTGCTCTCTTCGCGCCGCCGTCCCCCCGTACCATGTGCAGGTGCGTGCCGTGCGCCTCGTGTGCGCGCGCTTTACATCGCTGCAGCCGTGCCGCTGACGTGAGTGTCTCTGTGCGCGCCGTGTACCCACATGTGAGCAGTGCGTGGCCGTGTCTCTGTGCGCCGTGCCCGTGTGCGCGCGTGTACAATTGTGCAGCGCGTGCGCTCGCGCTGGCCGTGTTCTCTGTGCGCCCGCGTCGTACATCGTGAGCCGTGCCGTGCGTGCGTCCACTCCTACTGCTGCCGCTGACGTGGTATACTACAGTGAGCCGTGCGTGCGTCTACTGTATTCTCATTCATGGTTCCGATTTGCATTTTGATTTTTCCATTTTATTCCAGTAGCGCGTGTCCTGCTTCACAGTAATCAACCTACTCATCATTTGGAACAGCCTGCTGACTTCTCAGCATTCATAGTCATGAACACTGACCCTCCATCCAGACAGCCAGCCAACCCGCTAGGGGCACGTTCCACTCATGGACAACGGCTAGATGAACTGCGCATCTATTGAGCCGGAAAAGCACACTAAACGCGACTTGACTGGTGCGAAAAACGACGCACTCCTTCCTCCGCGATGCTACTGTACTAGATATGTGCATTATGAGATCAAGTTAGTCGAATTAAGAGAACATACAACCCCAGCTTGATTCCTTGGTCGAGTATTTTGCTTGTATCAATAAAAATGTCGACGCGCTCTTATTAAAACAACACTACCGCACTCAATTATTTGTGAAGCTTAGCGGCTGTGGCTACATAGAACATATTAAACTTTGAATATGAATACCCCCTCGCTCCACGACTATCGTATCATATCTATACTGATAATACACTTGATATGAGATCACAGGGCAAAATCATGAAATGTGAGCAAGGCGCACACGACGTTGGCACCTGCAGTCAGTTGGCTGGACAGAAGAGGGCTGTAGTAGTTCTCTCGCCCACTATTTTCTGCAGAAACATCGTCACTTAGTACAGCGTAGTACGCCAGAGACTGAAATTCAACATTGAAAAACACTGTTCGGCATACATGAGCCGTGTGAACGATATTTATTCAGCATAAAAAATATCAGGTACTTTTTGCTATAATCAGCACGTAATAAGGATTGAAGACCACTTTGGATGTTAGCACTGCATTGTTCGAGATACACAACGTCGCTGCGTCATCCACCCAAGTGGATCATAGATGTCTTACCCTATCACGCCACGTCATAAAGAACGCTCTTTATTATAAACTTGATAAACTTTACTATCAAAACGTTCATGTTATAGCCTCTGTGATGTTATATATATTCAGATATATACTGGTCCATAGCTATTTAACCAGATATATATACTACATGATGTATCATATAACTAATAGCAATATAACAACAGCACTAAGTCTAAAATAGGCAGCATCAACTACACTCGGCAGAAAATGTTACAATAACGAGTAGTAGAATGAACAGTGTAATCTCCAGGAATCATAATATGATTCGCATTTATTATCGGATGAAAATATTTAAACGCTCCTTCTAGTAAAGACTAAATCGAATCATAATTCAATGCAGTAATGAGAAATTCTAGCAATCACAAAATGAAATGGAAATGGAGTTCAATAAGCATTAACTCACATCAAGGCACTCACTTCTTCCGACTGATCTATTATATTGATCATGAAGAAGAAATAATATAATTCCTAGAGAAATTTATGATGGACGGAAACAACATGCCCGCTGTTAGATGGCGGCCACTAAACGCAATATGTTCCTCGTGTCTGTTGTGGCACACGTCCAACATTTTCGTCATGGTTTTATTAGTTTTTGTAGTATGTTTGTCCTCACACAGACGTGTGCAGTGTCACTCGACCGTGTCACTCTTCTATCTAAACTACCAAAGTTCCTGCCTTTTTGGTTGAACCCTATGGCCTCAAGCATAATTATAGTCTAAACGTCAATACACTAATTCGGTTTATTATATACCGGCTAGTGCTACAGTCCTACACTACAGTTTTTCTTGTGCGCAACCAGTGGGCAAAGACACTGCCTGCTGTGTCGTCGGTGTCATTTCAATTTTCAATGGATTCTTCTGCAGCCCGTTCTCAATTGAAACGTGTCATTCGTATAGTCTTAAGGCTTAAGTAGATGAAAGCTTTGTTGATGCTACAGGCGTTAAATTCGAGGCAATCATGCCGTAGATACTGAACCGGCGCGCATCCATCGCAGCCTCCTCGAGACATTTGCTGTACACAGGCGTCGTACGGTCTGTAGAGCGCCTTGTAAACCTGAGCTTAAGCCCACGAGCACTCGACTATAAACCGTACCCCGCTCGCAGCGCGCCTGCGTTTTTCCCCCGCATCGCAGGCGGTCGGAAGGCCACCGCACACTGTCCGACCCTCAAATTGCACACCCGCGCAAAATTCAGATTTGGCACTCATCCCCTGGCGTTCTTCAAGCCGGATTTAGCGTGTACTAAGGCGTCCGGCCGAGTGTTTTCTCCCATCGGTTCGCATGCCATTCGCTATCTCGCCGAATGCGGTTCCCCATGCGCCGCTCGGCGGAAAGCATCCCTGTGATTGGTGAATATTGGCTCTTCCATTCGAGCGGGACTACGCACGATTCCCGCGCGTGCTTGGGCGGAGCTAGTTGACGGGTAGGCAGTCCAGCCGTCACTACTTATGCCGAAAAGTCGCGGTCGTGAAGCCCTCCCGCAGCACTATCCGAGCCTTGATCTGCTCCCGGATTCAAAAGTACGAATCGGGCCAGAATGACGCGTGGCCAGAGCCAAAAATACTTGAAGCCTCTTCCTGCCGAGCTGTAGTCCAAGAGGACTAGAGGTTTAACATCTCCAATCCGCAAGGATCTGTAATTTAAAGCTCTATCAAATTACGGGCTCATTGGAGACGATGGAAGCGGTCGGATAGTGTGGCGGCTGAGCCATTAGCACCTTCTCCGGGCCAACGTTGTGTTACGAGCTGAGAAGGTGAACTTGGTGGCTACGTAATACCGAAGATGCATTAGTGTTGTGCAGTGTACACAATGATGGTCGCAAGGTCCGTCGGTTAGGGGGAATGCACATAACTGTTTCGAATTCTCGGCTCAGATAATTTGACTGCTGCGGATTGGAATGCTCCGACTACAAGCCGACCAGCGCGGCGGTTCTCACGATTTGCGTGTATAAGAATTGGTCAACAGCCATTCTATCTCGAGTCTGTAAGCAGTGGCTACTTGGCAAGTTTGCAAGAATGCTAGGAAGGAGTATTCACTGATGACAGCTGCAGCTGGTTGAGAGCTTTAAAATAGAAAACACATGCGCCAAAACTGGGCGACGTGAGTCAATAAATTAAACACTTCGGCCCCAAACGGAATCTGTATCTCGCGCCGAAATTTAAAACAAAAATGGCTGTGTCAAACAATAGTGAAAATGAGAAAACACAAAAACACCATTGATTCTACTACACATGCTAATTCATTGATCACTTTTCTCAAAAATCAAGGCAACAGCTCCTGTAAAAGTTGCTTGTTTCAATTTTTATTTCTAATTTATCTTTTATTCCGCTCCCCGGCTGCTGTTGGGCCCCTCAATGAAATTGCCCACGTATACGCACACGATTGTATCTGACGTTGTTGAATACCCAGTCCAACAAGACCTTTTAAAAAGCAATCGTGCACTGTCCCCTCCCCTCCTCGTCACATCAATTTCCAGTATGCCGCCGCCTCAGGCACGTATACCACAGCCGCGCCGTGCTGGCCGCGTGCAGCTGCTCTCCGGCTTCGCTTTTTGGCGAGCCTTTTGATAATATATGAAGTGAGGAGTCGTGGTGATAGCGCCCTTTACGAATGACTACAACTGTATCTCATCATGATTTGGATATAAGTTCGGATTGTTTGGAAACGCTATAACATCTTGATTAAAGTTTAGACAATTATTTTTACGTCGCCAACATGGCGAGTCAGCTTTAGCTCACTCGCCCTCGAATATTATTTTTCTGCAACTATCGTCATTGTGCGAGCGGCTGCGAGTGGCCAAGCTTCGCACGCTGCAGTGAATGATAGACGTAGGGAAGAACCTGCCATTCTCCACTATCTACGTATCAAAATCGTAATGTCCCAACAAGCCAGTAGGAATTGTATCCCTACATTATTCGTATCTAGGCTCTCGTCCTCTCTCTCTCACCATGTAAAGCTGTATCCAAGGTGTGCAACATTACGCGAGTTCAGCGGAGCTTCAAAACCCGATTTAGCTGTCGGAACTCCCTGATTTGACATGTCGGAGAGTCCTGTGCTGGACTCCCTGCAAATTCGCCTGATACTAACTAGTCTCATTCCCACGCAGCACGGCCTCCGGGACTGAATACTATATTTTTTCAGGCAAATGTCCACAGAAAATTTGGGCAGCCTGCGGACTCCCTCATCTTTGCCTCGCAGACTCCCTTTTTCAAAAGTTACATTTCTAACTCCGTCTATTCTCGTCACGAGATATGATAGGTAGGCCTATCCTCCTTGTTTTGCTCAATCGCTAGTGTTGGAACCCGGGCTATAACTATAGTTTTGCATAAACTAACTCTATATGTCTATACTATACTATATCGTGCAAAACTATGTCGCGGGTCGATGTCGCGTTGCATTCCGAATCGCGTCGCATTGAATGTATTTTAGTTACAACTTAGTCTGGAATGTGATTTTTTGTGGCATTGATTGTCCGTTGCACGGTCGGATACGTGCCAGCGATTGTCGCATTGCGGAAGCGTTTGTGATCCCGTCTGATGATCATCGGGCTGCCCACCGAGCGAACCGACATCGGCGACTGGTATCCGAGTGACGCGCGCGCCGCGTCCTGCTGGCCACTGGGTCCACCACGCTGGCGGCGAGATTGTCGCAGCCACCGTGAGCAACCTGCTAGCGGCTGTAAGGAGCTCTCTCGTCACCTGGTGTGTGTCTCTCTCATACTGTTGGCTGTCTTCTCTCTCTTAAAAGCTGTTGCTGGCGACCCTGGTCTCTCTCTCTCTCTCTCTCTCTATGTTTTGTCTCTCAGCCCCCTCACTCTCTCTCTCTCCATCTCTCTCCTTCTTTCTGTCTGTCTCCTCTGTCTGCTCGCGCCCCTCTCCTCAACTTCTCTGCCTCTCTTCCGGGGCTTCTCCGTCTCTCTCCCTCTGCCTCTCTCCTCTCCTCTCTCTCGGTCTCGCTCTCTCTCTCCTCTCTCTCTCTCTCTCTCTCGTCGCGTGCGTGTGTGCGTGCGCGTGTAACTAACCGTACATTTCGTACATACGACAGGTGCGCAGGCGTGCATGTGTAACTAATACATTTCGTACATACGACAGGTGCGCAGGCGTGCATGTGTAACTAATACATTTCGTACATACGACAGGTGTGTGTGCTGCTGGTGTTCTGCTATGCTGGCTCCCTCTGCACGGGACTGGTGGCGTTTATTTATTCAGAGCGGCTCGGCGATCAGGCCGTGCAGCTCACAGAGCTGGCTGTGAAGGTGTATCCGTCCGACCGTGAGCTTAAGACGGCCCTAGACACGCTGCAGACCAAGGTACGGGGAATGTGCGTGTGTGTGTGTGTGTGTGTGTGTGTGCGCGTGCGTGCGTGCGTCTCTGTGTGTGTGCGTGTGCACGTGTGCGTGTGTGTATGTGTGTGTATACGTCTGACCGTGAGCTTAAGACGGCCTTAGATACACTTTAGACCAAGGTACGAGGCATGTGCGTGATCTGTGACAGCCACATACCAGCAGCGGGAGCTTGTAAAGCAGTGTTAGTGTGAAAGCAGGTGCTGGTATGTGGCTGCCACGTTCATGGGGAAATCCATGTACTATGAATCAGAATGTAATAATGACGGATTGTCGAGATTCGATAATTGTTAAAATTCAGTTCGTTAGCAGTCTGTGGTTAGTACGTGTGGGTCCGTGTATTTTGCCACAGATTGTGTTTAGTCCTTGATTTATCTGTTTATTCCAGTTTACATTTTATATAAGTATATTTTACATTCTCGTATATTCTCGTTCCTATATTATTAGCTCATCTGACGAAGTCAGATGCAGCTTGTAGAATCGCATGATTGTTCGTGCATCAGTCCGTCCCGTCCGTCTGTCTGGCTGTCAACAGTTGGGCACAAATCTTAACCGCTCGACGTACGGTGACGATATTTGGGACGTGGGGGGGATCGTGAAAAGGACTCGGGATGACCATTGTGCGCGCGTGTACATGTGAGCGTGCGTGCGTGCGTGTCTCTGTGCGCGCGTGTACATGTGAGCGTGCGTGCGTCTACTGTATTTCATTTCATGGTTTCCGATTTGATTTTTGATTTTCCATTTTATTCAGAGTACGGTGTCCTCTTCACAGTATCAACTACTCATATTTGGAAGCTGTGGACTTCTCAGCATCATAGTCATACTCCTCATGCCAGAAACCGCAGACGTTCCACTCATGGACACGCTAGATGACTGCCATCTATTGGAGGGAAAAGCAACTAAACCGATGGACTCTAGTGCGAAAAAGGACGAGCTTTCCGCGATGCTATGATGATATGTGATTATAGATCACGTTAGTGAAATAAAGAAAATAAACGAAGCTGATTCTTGTGATATTTTGTTGTATAATAAAAAATGTCGAGCGCTTTATATAAAACAAACTACCGCCACTAATTATTTGTGAAGCTTAGCGCTGTGGTACATAGAACATATTAAATTTGATATGAATATGATATGACTATGTATATATATATATGATATATATTGATATGAATAGGAAATATGAAATGTGAGCAATCGCACAAGTTGGCTCAGTCAGTTGCTGAAGAAAGAGGTTATAGGTTCTCATCCCACTGGCAGAAAATCGTCCTTAAGTACAGCGGTAGTACAGCGGAGACTAAATTCACATTGAAAAACTGTTCGCATAATGAGTGTTGAACGATATTTATTCAGAAAAATATCATATTTTTTCTATTATCTAAATAAGGATTGAAACCACTTTGGATGTTAGCACTGCATTGGTCGAGATACAACGTGCTGCCCATCACTAGTGGACATAGATGTTACCCTATCAAGAGCGTATAAAGAAGGCTCCTTTATTTATAAACCTTATAAAACTTTATATAAACCTTCTTTATACACTCTTGATGTTATAATTATTTCAGATTATATACTGGTCATACCTATTAAAGATATATAAATACAGATGTATAATATAAACTAATAGAATAATAACCAAAGCACTAAATTAAAGAGCAGACAAAAGCCTACACTGGCAGAAAAATGTTACAATAACGAGTAGTAGAATAACATGTAATTCAGAATATAATATGATTGATTTTATTATCGGGATGAAAATTAAACCCTTTAGTAAGATAACGAAATCATAATTATCAGTAATAGAAATTTAGAATCACAAAATGAAATGGAAAATGGTTAATAACTTAATACATCAAGCCATTTTCCGCGGATTATATATATGATAGAAAAAGAAATAATATATCCTTAGAGAAATTATATGATGGAAAAATGCCCCTGTAGATGGCGCCACTAAAGCAATATGTCCTCTTCTGTTTGGCAACGTCAAACATTTTCTCATGTTTATTAGTTTTTGTATATGTTTGTCTCACACACCGTGTCATCTTCTATCTAAACTACCAAAGTCTGCTTTTTTGTTGAACTAGGCTCAACATAATATAGTCTATGTAATAATAATTAGGTTTATTATATACCGGCTATGCTACATCCTACACTACAGTTTTTGTGCCAAACAGTGCAACACTGCCACTGGCTGTGTCTCGGTGTCATTCAATTTCAATGATTCTTCTGCCACCGTTCTTCAATTGAACGTGTCCATTGTAAGTTTAAGGCTAAGTAGATGAAAGCTTTTTGATGCTACAATGCGTTAAATTAGGCAATCATCGTAGATACTAAACCGACCATGCTCTCCGACTGTTACACGTCGTAGGTTGTAGGTTGTAACTCTGACTTAAGCCCCCGCACACTATACGACCCGCTCCCGATCGATCGGGAGGCCACCGCACACTGTCCGACTCAAAGTTGACGCAAACCATGGCACTCTCGTGGCGTTTCAAGCGGATTTAGCGTGTACTAAGGGTCGGGAGTGTTTCCCATGGTTCGAATGCCATTCCATTCGAATGCGGTTCCCATGGCGCTGCTCTGTGATTGGTAAATTTTCTTCAGCGCTCGCCGATCGGGTCGGATGGCTACGCACACTATCCGAGTCGCGTCGTAAGCCCTCGCACACTATCCGACTTGATCTGCTCCCGATTCAAAATTCGAATCGGGCCAGAATGACCTCCAGAGCCAATCTTAAGCCTCTCGAGCCAAACTAGAACATCTCAATCCAATTGTAAGCCTTCAAATTACGCTCGGGTCGGATAGTGTGCGGCTAGCATTACACCTTCTCGCCAACGTTGTGTTAAGCGAGAAGGGAACTTGTGGCTACGTAGATACCAGACATTAGTGTTTGCAATTACACAATGATGGTGCAAGTCCGGGTTAACTGTTTCGATTCTCGGTCAAAATTTGACGCCGGATTGGATCTCGACTGCCGCGCGGGGTTAGATTTGCGTGTATAAAATTGTCAACAGCCTTCTATCTGAGTCTGTAACAGTGCTAGTTGCAAGTTGCAAAATGCTGGAAGAGAGTATTCTGATGACAGTGCAGTGTTAGAGCTTTAAAATAAAAACCACTCGCCAAACTGGGCGAGTGAGTCAATAAGTTAACTCGCCCAAACGGAATCTGTACTCGCCCAAATTTTAAAACAAAAATGCTTGTCAAACAATAGTGAAAAAACACAAAAACACCATTGATTTAACTACACATGTAATTCATTGATCACTTTTCTCAAAAATTCAAGGCACAGCTCCTGTAAAAGTTGCTGTTTTCATTTTTATTTAATTTACTTTTATTCTCGGGCTGCTTTGCCCCATCAATGAAATGCCACGTTACGCCGATTTTATTGACTTGTTAATACCCAGCCAACGTGACTTTTAAACAATCGTGCACTCCCCCTGCCCCCTCCCCGTACATCAATCAATATGCCGCCTCAGGCACGTATACACAGCCGCGCCGTGCTGGCGCTGCACGCTCTCGCGGGTTGCTTTTTTTGGCGACCTTTGATAATATAAAGTGAGGATGTCGTGGGATAGCCGCCTTTCACAATCACTACAACTGTATTTCATCAATGTTTGGATATATTTGGATTGTTTGGAACCAACATTTGATTAAAGTTTTAGACAATTATTTTTACTCGCCAACATGGGCGAGTCAGCTTTAGCTTTCACTCGCCCGATATTATTTTCACTCGTCATTGGCGAGCGGGCGAGTGCCAAGCTTGCACGCTGCAGTGAACTGATAACTAGGGAAGAACCATGCATTCTCACTATCTACATCAAATACAGTAATGTAACCCAACAAGAGTAGGAGTTGTATCTACATTATTGTATCTAGCTCTCTCTCTCTCTCTACACATGTAACTGTATCCAGGGTGTGAAATTAACGCGAGTGCGGAGTCAAAAACCCGATTTACTGTCGAACTCCCTGATTTGACATGTGGAGGAGTCCGTGTGACTCCCTGAAAATTCTGCTATACTAACTAGTTCATTCCAGAGCACGGCCTCACGGAATTACTATATTTTTTCAGCAAATGTCCAAAGAAAATTTGGCAGACTGCGGACTCCCTCATTTTGCTGCAGACTCCCTTTTTCAAAAGTTAATTTCTACTCCTGTCTATCCGTCACGAGATATGACTAGGTAGGCCCTATCCTCCTTTTTTGCTCAATCCTAGTTTGGAACCCCGGTATATATAGTTTGCATTAACTAATCTAATGTGCTATATATATATATGTGCTAAACTATTCCGGGTCGATGCGCGGTTGCATCGAATTCGCGTGCATTGAATTAATTTTAGTTAAATTAGTTGAATTGATTTTTGTGCATTGAATTTGTCGTTGCAGGACAACGTCCAGCGATGTCGCTGCGGAAGACGTTTGTGATTCCGCGTCTGACGACGTCGCTGCCGAGCGAACTCGACACGGACTGGTATCAGTACGGGCGACCGCCGTCCTGCTGCCGGTCACGCTGCTGGCGCGAGATTGTGCAGCACCTGAGCAACCTGCTGCTGCTGGTAGGAGCTCTCTCTCACTGTGTGTGTGTCTCTCTTACTGTTGCTCTGTCTCTCTCTTACTGTTGCTCTGTCTCTCTCTCTCTCTCTCTCTCTCTATGTTTGTCTCTCGCCCTCTCTCTCTCTCTCTCTCTCTCTCTCTTTCTGTCT